GAGGGCAAACCGGCCTGCAAGGGAACCGACCCCGACCGCCGGGGTGAGGCAGGGGCCCAGGCAGGGTGAAAACACCGAAACTGAAGCATTTCCTCCGAAGGTCTCTTTCCACGCTGGCCCTGCCCAGCAAACAGCCCGAGCCCTGCGCGGGGGCTTGAGGGGAGACGGCTCCCGGGAAGAGGGAGAAAGCTGCGATTCCAAATTGCCCAGCAAAGGCACATCAAACTGGCTTTTCCTTCTTCGGGGCGTGTGCAGCTGCCACCTGGCTCCTGCCTTGGGGCCGTGAGGCCACCGTGGGCTGGGGCCGGGTTCGAAAGCCATGGGCTGGGAGCGACACGTGGGGTTTCCCCGGGCTCCCCCAGCCCTGGCACCCCGAATTCCCAGCCCTCGCCTCTCTGGCGCGTTGCTCACGCACTCCATTAAATCACTGTGCCGTGTGTTGGGGGTTTCCATTTTGGCACCCGCATCTGCCACCAGTGAGAAATTTGCACTGAGCTGGGCTTTGTTTTTTCATTGCCTCTCTTTTGTTGCTTACTTTTCTTATTAGTGACCTTATTTTTAACCTGCTGTTTAATTTCGGACTCGGGTTGCAGTCAATCATCCTTTCAATCAGTTGGGAGAGGCCGAGGCCCACGGGCTCGGCCTTTCTGTTTCTCCGAGCGCCCGGCATCCCTGCAAACCGCCCTCGTGAACGCCGGAGGGACGCGCACAAACAGCAGGGATGTTTTTAACCGGCGTGACAAAGGTTACGTGGTGACTCAGTGGCGTTTTTTTAACACCAGATCACGTGCCGTTCATCTCGCGCAACAGACTGCAACGGGCAGAGCAAAAATTTTGCCCGGCTCCTACTGAAAAGCACAACCAACTGTAGGAGAAACAATTCGATTTAGAGAATGGTTTGCAAACAAGATCTACCCAGTGGCAACTGCAAATTCAGACCTCGGAGACCTGGAAGACCAGCCTTCAACTGGACACTGCTGTGACCTAGATCTTTTTGTTTTAACTTGCTTTCTTTTTCAGTAAAAGCTATCTTAAATGACCGCACTTCTTAACCCACGACTCCTTTTGTCTATTATTTTCAGCATCTGTGGCGTAAAGTTGTAAAACAAAGACAAGGCACACAAATGTGGAGCCCTAGCGATACGTTCTAAGAAGCAGAACACTCCCTTGCACGCTGTGAAGGCTTTAAATCCCAACTTGTTAAATCTGGAACAATCCAATAGGGTAAAGTGGCAAAATAGCCTTTTCCGAAGTCGTAGGTGACATCGCAGGCTGATGGGGAAAAGCGACTCGGGAGAGGAGTGCAGGAGTAGGCCTGAACACAGAAACGGGCCCTAGCTCACCAGTCAAACTGCGCCGTGCCACTAGATGTCACGGTGGAACAGCAAGAGGAGCCTGAAGCGTGGCTTTGTGCTTCTCGCTGTCAGCGTACAATGCCTTTCAATTTCTCTCGGCACATCCATAGTGTCTCCGTACAGCTTTGATCCTGCGGATTTCAAAGCTCTGTGCAGCGCAAAGGGACGTTACGCAATGTTTCAACAACGAGCGCAGGGAAGCCCCGCACAGTGAGCGGATTTCTTTAGGGTTATGGGGCCTCTTTTCTTTTTTCTTTCCCCCCCTCTACTTCAGCTCCTCTCCCAAGGCCACACCAGGGCTTTTAAGGACTCGAGGCCGGCGGGCGATGCACTGAGATGGTCTCTCTCACGCTCTCTCGGGATGAGTATCCTACTCTGTCGTGTTTGTGCCAAGCCCTGTTAAATGCAACTCGGGTTCACCATTGCTTAGTTACACAACGTACTTCTCCCCGGAGTCATAAGATTTCCTCCCGCAAGAAAGACTGTGTAGAAGAGGATTAGCAGCGAGTTCACTTGACTCAAAACTCCCCGCTGCCGCCATGAGCCTTCCTGCTCGTGCCTCACCCGTGGAGCCGCAGCCCCTCGCACGCGTTGCCCCCTCCCCGTTTATCGGCACTAGCGTTGCACGCACCAAAACCGAGCGAAGCCAAGAACATGTTCGTTCCCTCTCCTTCCCTCCCCTTTCCCATACGGCAGCTGGGCTCGTGCCCGCGCTTGGCAAGCCCCCGCGGTGCCTGTACCTGTGCAGGGCACACGGGCGTACATCTCCCTACCGAGAGCAGCAGGGGCTGCGCGGACCTGGACGCACGGATGCAGGCGCCGGCAGAGGACTGGCCGTCGCCTTTGGAAGCTGCTGGGAATCGCACCCGCTGCTGCGTGCTCGTGGCTCGGCTGCGCAAAAGCGAGCAGTCACTTCGCCTCCCAAATGTGCCTCCTAAGTGTCCTTGGCCTTCGGCAGGAACACGCTGAGCTCTGAGCCACAGCGTTTGTCTGTGTGGAGCCCAGATCAGTGATATTTTGTTTTCTCTGTGATTTACAGGTGCTCGGTGCTCCCTGCGCGTTCACCGCTCGAGGGGGCACCGTATCCACCAGCCTTGGGCGCAGGGCAGCGGTGGGAACGCTGTGGCACGCCTGGCAGGGCAGAGCCGGCGCTTAGCTGTGACATGCTTGGACATCCTGCTGCTGCTTGGAGTAACCACAAGGGAGAGTTGGGCCATTCTTTGTCCTCAGAGCAAGTTTTCCAGATTTTATTGGTTTAGTTTTAATATCTGTCTTTTTGCAAGCTTCCGACTGTGACTGAACCTCTGGATTGGTTCTTTTCTCCTTTTTTGGAGAAACCATGGTCTGTCTGTTTGGTCTTTGCTTCTGTGGTTTTTTAAGGCTCATGAAGTTTTTCGCTCCCTTTGCATTTCAGGTTTCATTCCCCAGCTCCTTTAACCAAGCTCTTAGTAATTTAAAATTGTTATTAAACATCTTTTTAAAGGCTTAATTCCCAGTTACACAGTGATACAGCTGTACGATCATATTTGAAATACCCAGTCCCCACCCAACCCACCAGAACAATGTTTCTGGCAATTTCAGCCAACCCTGCACTTGTGTGAGGGCATTAGAACTAAGATTTAGGGATAGTCAGAAACCTTAAACATAATGTGCATACACACACAGAGAGAGATTTAAAGCTGTTATGGCATAAGGCTCAGGGAAACGGCAGGACTGGTGGAGAATAAAGATGGAATGAATTAAAAGTCAAGCCCAGTATTCACCTAGGTTTAAACTAATTTACCGTGCTTATTTGGGGCCTTTCACTGGCTGTTTGAATGCAGAGGAGGCGGTCTCAGAGAAGTCAAACTCCGGAGGAAGAAGCAGTTTCTATTAGAGCAGTTTTTGTGCTGGCCCCATGGAAGTCCCTGCGTGAGCGTTTGTAGGTGAATTAGGTTAAATTCGAAGCTCCACGTTATCAAGTCTGAGCCTGCGTCACCCAACGCTCGCTTCGTGCCCATGGGAAGAAACATGCAGTACAGAGGCTGATTCATCTCATCCTGGGGCAGGTGTCTAAGAATAGTGCAGACAAATCATCCTCTGGAGATGCCTCTGGTGTTCTACCTACTGCCAAAGGAGCCAAAGGTAACGAGCTTCGAACTCAATCATTTCCAGCTCTCTAGCGTCAGGCAAGATGAGCCCCTGAGGCAAGGTGGCTGGGGCCCTTCCTTCAGCTTCTCTATTCTGGATGAGAGAAATAAAACCTTACAGTGAATTGCAAAGTTGCAGGGAACTCACCAAACACCTTTCTTTTGACCTTAAATCATAGCGCTTTTCACCAAATCGCCGGGCAGGACTTGCAACACTGACAGTGGTAGAAGGGCTGGGATTTAGGACAGGTCTCAGCCACCTGGAGCATCCCTGAATCGCAGTGCAACCAGCTGTCCCATGGATTTTCAGCCCCGCTGAGCTCCCGCAGGGGCTGGAGGGGAAGCTGGGCGCCTAAGAAAGAGATTTTCCGGGAGGTGTGAGTGCACGCACATGCACACAGCTGCACACACCTGCAGCAGGCGGTGAAATTTATGGGGAGCCTGGAAAATGGCATTGATATTTGGGGGAACGGCTATCTGCAGGGGAAGGATCTGCTCAGGCAGTCAAATCCGTTTAGGAATCAGGCATGGTGTGTGGCTGATTTTTTTTTCATTTGTTAATTTAACATTGTCCTTATTTGTAGGACAAATAAATAATTTCTGAACAAACAAGTCAGAGAACTGGAACCCGAGGGGGGTGGTACATCAGCTCAGGGACTCATGGTTAAGAAGTCCAATAGATTTTGATAACAACTGGAAATTGTTCAGTGGATTAGTGTCTAAAGCCAGTTTGGCTTCAAGTAATGACAAGCCTGAGCTGCAGTGCCGTGGATCCAAACTTCTCCCCCCGAGGGCTGGCGTTGCCTGTGATGCGGTTGTGGGTAGGGTCCCCAGGCGTGAGCTTGGAGCTGGCAGATGTCTTGACCCAGAAAACTGAGCAGACGAAGGGCCGCCTTTGCCTTTTCTCCAGGCATCTGGCTGCGTTCCTCTCTGCCCAGGCCTGTGGTCCCTCACTTTGCTCTCCCAAGCCACCAAACAGGCTCATCCTGGGAGCACGGGGCAAATGTCTGTAGTTGCCCGACTCCTGCGCAGGGCCATGTCCTGTCTGGGTGCTGGGAGCCAAAAGGCTTCTGTGGATCTTGTCCCAGTTCATCTCCTGCAGGAGCTGACTCCTGTGGGAAGTGCACATGCTGTTAACGAGATGATGGAGAAAAAAAAATTCTTTTGCTAAGACAGGGTCTACATTTGCTTCTGCAAGGCTTTTTTCTTTAGAAGAAGCTGGCCCCATGCAGAAGACTGGATCAAGGTGTCTGGGTTCTCCTCCGGTTGTGTTTTGGCCATAAAGGAGAAAGCCACAAATGCAAATTATAACCGGTTACGCTTATGGGCTATGCCCTGTGCACTCGTCATGGTCCTGAGACATGGCCAGTCAATTAGAAACTCTCCGTTGACTTGGATGGGCTCTCAACCAGACGCTATACAATTCAACAGAGTAATTAGCAAAGCTGTAACTAAAGAGGTCTCCATGGAGATTGACAGCATCACCTCCCAGCTGGTACATTCTCTGCCTCCTATTCTAAATTTGTTCTCGCTGTCTTCCTGGCTCTAATCCATAAGGTTAGTTAAATCTTCCAACATTTGCGATACATCAAAGCAGCGGAGAGAAGGACAAAGGCAGTTGGGAGGGGGCAGAGAAAGAAATAACCCCATGCCTCAAGGAAAGCAGCAGAAACTGTTCAGACACATATAGTCAGAGTTTTGAGAATGGGATTAAGCAGAACAGCACCTCTGCCTGCCTGTCACTTGCAAATTCTTGCTAATACTTTAGGAGCTTATTGGAGGTCAGCACCAAACACCCAAACAGACTAATCTGTATTATAGGCACATAATCAAAGTCACAAGGTTTTACATAATATATATTGGTGACACAAGAAGTGTTTGTTCGAATAATTTTGTCATCAAGATTAGTGGCCATGAAAGCCTCTACTGTGCGCTAACCTGGTTTTCTGTGGCCGTTGGTACGCCAGAT